AAAATCAAAATTTCGTAAACAACAGAGAGATACGTAAGCTCATTTAGAAGAAGTCTCTTTTAAATCTATTATTTAATATAAATTGAATTTAAAGTTTTCCCCATTCTAAGTACTGTATAAAAAGAGTTAGAGATTGTCCCATATTTCTGTAACATAATATTGACCCTTAACGAATATTTAGATCATTCTCAATAGAGTAGCCAACCTGAATAAAAGGGAAAGTTTAGTGAAATTTATTATGAATTTGCTCCCATTTCTACTTAAAATTAAACTATTATAAAGTCGAAGTTATTTATGTAGATAGATTTGCTAATACCAGACCCATTTAAAGACCTATACGTTTTTTCTAAGCTTGTCTCTCATTTAAATCTTCGATAATATAATTCTCCCAAATATTCTTGGCTTTATATGTTTTCTTACTTTAAAAGTATTTCGATTTACGTCACGATTGACCTCACGTTCTACAGGGGTCGAGATAACTCAAAGGTAGCTAGACATGTCTCCATTGACGTCAAGTTTCGTTGACTTGATGTCAAGGGGTGGAAATAGAAATTTTAAGTTTTTTCGTACTTTGAAAACGACATATATGATTTAATTTTTAATTAATTAGAAAGTAATTGCTCAAAAATTATTACCTGACAGGCCATTTGACTTATAAATAATGTCATCATTTGTCAGTAATTATTTTATTTAAAAAATTGTGTTAAAATTTTCTAAAATCTAATAATACAGAACAGCTCAAATCTAACTTTATAAAAATTAGAATAGTCCAATCAGTAAAGGCCCTCCAGAGCAGAACCATTCGCTTTCTGTTCTGGGAGGGGGCCTTCGAATCCGAATTTTCTTGAACGAATTGAACAGGATATATCGGGGCCCTTTGTTTTTTCCTCAATCGACCGCTCCTATATTGGGCCCAGTCGAATCAATTATGGATATGAAAAAGGCCTTCTTAGGGCCTGCAAGGTAGAAAAGAGATTTTTTTAAATGTATGAATTTAGCTTGTAAAGAATCGCATTTTATTTTTAGACTATATTTTTATTATTGTGCATTTAACTTAAATAAAATACTGTATTATGTTTAAATACAAAGAGAATTGTTCTCTTGAACAATTGAAATATAAGCAATTTCTAAGAAAACTGTTATATAATAATATAATGCAGTTTTTCTATACTTAGTATATTCAAACCGGTTCTTCTGATCGTACTCCAAATTAAAATTTGTTAAATGGTCTCAAATTTGTACAATAATACAAATTTTTAAAATTATTTTATAAGGAATTTATGAAAAATTAAATAATTTATATCAAAATTTATAATTTTTTTCCATTCTGAAAGCAACGAGACATTAATAGAAAGAACAGTCGAATAATAAAAAAGTTTGCTTCATTACTCGACTGTTCCCATTGTTGGACTGTCCAAAACCACGAAGAACTTGAAAAACTCTTTCGATACTTCTAAGCAAATTATGGCCTGAAGTGTCAATTGCTATTTCAAAGATCGGTATTGATAGTATAAATTACAGTTGAAAAACATCTCTTGTAATATAGTAGGCCCTACATACTCGCAATTAATGATGCTTTTTCCCTGACTGGCTACAAAGTTTGACTTGCGCTTTATTAATTAAAAAAAAAGTCGGGTATCAGAAACTATTGACTGTTTCTGTTAAGATATGTCAAAATGTTTTATTTATACAGGTATGTACTGTACTTGCTAATGTATTAATAAAATACCGTACCTCCAATCAAACTTACTACTGTTTACTGTGTACGAACCTTTATATCTCGAAACCTGTCTATCCCAAATTTTTTTTCTTGTTTCTGTAAGATTCAAGATAGACAGGATTCAATTGTATTTGGCCCACCAGTGGCCAAGCGGTACCGTTCCCTGAACACTGGGAGTTCGCCTCGCCCGGACGGGCTGGCCATGTGGAGTTTTTTGGGTTTTCTCCACTTCTGTAAGGCCCGAATAGGGGCCAGTTACCCTTAAAAAAAGACCTCCCGGAAGGCATTCCCCCTAGGAAGATAGCCCAAGTGTTGCGTTGCCATGACTTAATAAAACAAACATCAACTGTATTTCAAGATTAGTTTCATATTCAACTTTCATTCATTCGGACCAATTCCATTATAATCCTATAATATCTTAAAAAACAAATAAATTACGTTTTCTATAGAACATAAAGTATTCTATGGGAGTTTAGTAATGGGGCATACACTCCCTCAAACCTCTTGAACATAAAGTATTCTACGGGATTTTAGTGAGCAATGGAAACTTCAAATCCAAACAATGAGCTATTCTAGTGATAACTTATAATTAAGACTAGGATATCTAGACAATAAAAGCCATACAAGTTATAAAAATTATAACTCATAGGTTTTGATTTTATAGTACCCAGATATCCTATCTCTAGTCACTACTATTCAGACAACAAAAGGTCTATGTGGCAAGCAGTAAGAAGCATAACCCGTTTTATATAAAACCGCTCATGTGATTGGCTTGCTTACTTAGCAACTATCATATAGACTCACCCAAAGTTAATGGGCATAAACCAATTATATTAATAATTGAACGAACAGTTTTCTTGTAATTTCATCCATCGAATTATCATTTCAATTGAATTTCTCCAATGATTCTTCTCTCGGAATAATTATGTAAGAATCGCTTCTGTGACACCTTGAATGTTGATTTATTTGTCCGCCACAAGACAAGTTTAGGTCAAACTTTTTGCGAAATATATAACCGAATTTCTGAGAAATAGCTACGAGGAAAAGTCAAGGAAATATTTTATATAATAATATTTTAAATAATTACAGATTTTTATGATTCAATTTATTTCCTTATACTGTATAAATTTAAAAATGATATTGATGATAACAGAATAAAATTTAAATTTCTTTTATAGATTAACTGGCTTTAACTTTTTGAATGAAATTTTTATTTTGTTTGTAATGACATTGTTATTTTGTAATTACAACACGAAAATACAGTTAAAACTTTTTTTTTTGTTTGTAGAAAAGGGCTGAGAAAAGGGCTGGCAGAATTACAATTTAATAAAAAGTAAAATACATCTGGATACGAGTCCAATTTTGCTTGCCATGTCCAGGAACAACTATTTCCATTGCAGATACAACCTTTCTTTAGAGGCACAAATACACAAAACAGTTTAAAATGTCCTCAGGTGACAATCCCAACACAATTAAAAATATAATATTTCTTTGTAAGGTTGTCTCTGCAATGGAAATAGTTGTTCCTAGCGATTAAACATGGCAAACAAAATTGGACTCGTATTATATATGTATTTTACTTTTTATTAAAAAGTTAAAATTTTGTTAATACAAAGTCGAATGGACTTTAAACTTGACATTTTATATTAACAAAACTAAAGCTTAGTTCGCACTGAGCGCGATTCGTTGGCGAAGGCAAAAACAGAGCGAATAACCCGTCAAACGAGTCATGTTTGACTGGTTATTCGCTCTGTTTTTCGTTTTCGACAGCGATTCGCGCTCAGTGTGAACTAAGCTTAACACTGTTGAAATGCATATTCTCCCTCCTCCACGGGACCTCAAATCTACTCATTTAACACGGACTTTGCACAAAGTGATAACGTAATAACGAGGTTTGACAATATTTGATTGTTATGTATAAACAACACCTTTTTAGTGTTTTGTAGACGTCGAATCCTACAATGAAAGATCGACGTCGTGATCATTTATAATGTGTAATTTTTAATAGTGTTTATCGGTTAATTTTATGAAGATTTTTGCTTATTATTTAGTCCCTTAATTGAGTGTAAGAGGATTTAAAGGATTCGAACATTGTTCGTATTGTCTTGATTTTCAAAAGTAAAAATATTTTTTTCAAATGTGAAAATAATCTTGAACTTATGTATGATAATATAAAAGTTATTTTTTAAGTAAAATCTCATAACAGCCGGGAAAGTTACGCAACTCGTTGCTAGATTTTTAAACCGCTAAGCAGTTTAATTATCTAAACCCAATTTTTTAAATTGTGTTTTAGCTTTCCCTGAAATGTTGCAAATTTTGTGCTACAAATTTTTCACTTCAGACCAACGTTATAATAATTTTATGCGTGTCAAACTAAGTGAATGAAAATTTTCAAGTAACCAATAAGCCAAACTTATATACATGCCCGCCATTTCTCTATTTTAAAGCATGGGCAATGCACTCGATGGTGGAACGTAACTGACTTGGGTGCAGTTGTCGCACATGCAAAGAAATTCTGCTATATAAAACAATAAGTTGAACATCGCTCTGATAAATGAGACTCTCCAAGTTTGCCCATGACCAAAAATCACAAGTCTGGAGATCACAGGTGCTGTTGGAAGCCATTGGCTATTCAGCTTTTCCATTCATAAAGTACGCAATAACTTTTGCACATTGACGCCAATATTAGGAGTGCTCCATCTTACATAAAGATTGTGGTATCTAAACAATTTCGTTGTTGAAGTGCGGGAATGACAAAGTTTAGAATCATGTCTCCGTATCTAATGTCATTAGCTCAGATACAGTGTTTTCTTCAAAACACTACTGTCCAATGAGGAAAGATACCGAGAATCCGCACCACACTGTGATTTTTGGTTAATGCAAGGAAATTTATTGATAAACGTATATGTTTTTTCCAGACCAAATAGTTGTAAGTGTTCACATACCATTCAAACAAAAACGGGTTTCATCGGTCCATAGAATTTGCTTGTTCCATAAATCGTAGGTCGTCATCTGAACTACGAATGAATCGGATCGATGGAATAAGGTGATCTGGCAAGGAAGTGGGTGTTTTCCAGGAAGACTTGCTATGAGAAACCGGTCCATGTTTAAGAGTTATTGACTGAAGATAAACAAACGGAAAAATTCATGAGGTTAACCTGCTAGTGAAGCGCGAACCCGTGACCAACTACCATTGTTTAGTAGTTTCATCCACTTAATCTCTGATGGGAAAATAAGTTTATTCTTCAAATTTCGATATCTCATTCCATCCGTAAATACGTATTATGCTTATTTCAATAATACATAAATCATACATTACCGACTTTTTTAATCTTTCTGCTCTGTGCATAGCAAGGGGTCTTTTCTCATGCTCTTCATAGGCCCACGTTGAGGGGTAGCTGGGTGATAAAGAACGGAACACTCCGGGAAAATTCTCGAGTTACTCTTCTAAATTAGATCCTGGGTTTCCCAGATCGATTAGTTAATGCAACAATCACCATAGCTATCCGGTCATCCATGCTTTAGTTTTAGAACTGAAGTATCAAGTGAATTATTTTATTTAGAATTTTATAATTTTAAATATATAATTCTTTATATCAAATCATTACATCAGAATTGTAGATTTAGGTTAATATTAATATTAATAAAACCAAGTACATATTATATATAAGTAATTTTCAAGCAGAAGATGAACTTAACAACACATGTAATGACGTTCTTCAGGTGGTGAATAGCCTGTGAATGACTGATAAAAAATAATTCTCATTCTTTCATAAACATCCGGAAGAAATTTTTCGACTAATGAAATAATGACAATAATTACTATAATTACGGAAATGCAAGAACATAATATAACAATAACGATGTACATTGGATTCGTTGGTGATCTACGTACAATATTGTCTGATAAAAATAGTTTGGAAATATCCACATTTGAAATGTCTTGATGTTTTTCCTCCTCTGGATCTTCGATTTCTGGTAAATGAAAATCTCTCCTCAATGCGTTGGATACTTCGCGATTTACACTTCGTGATAATCGATCAGCTACATTAATTTTTCCCATTTGTTCCAGTCTTAGAGCTAGTAAATGATATGTTTCATTCTTTGCTTCGTGCGTATTCCAATGTTCAAGCAAACGAAGACACGGGATGTTTTTTGGTTCGTGATTGCCTAGAAATATAAACGTTCAAAATGTATTATGAAACACTTATCGTTAGAATTTAATTAATTACCCGACGGAAATGGATCCAAAATGTAGTCGTCTCGATGCAAACTCTCCAAAAGACGTCTACATTCGCTGGAAGTAAGGCTATCTGCCACCATTTGTAATTCGGCTCTATTAATATCAATGGTACTGTGAGAAAAATCAAAAATATAACAAAAAGTAACGAAGAATATCTTATAAACCATCATCTTTAATGAACTTATAAAATTCTTTTAAGCAAATTCAGAATAATGATGATTAATAGCTTTATTTCGAATTAATTTTACAATTTTCGAATTCTACTTCGAATCGAATTTAATTTTACAAATTTCTCTTGTACTTTGATTTAATTATCTTAAATTTTTTATTTAAATATAAAAATGTTAATAAATCGAAATGAAATTGCAAAACAAACTAAATAATATAATACGATAATACAAAATAAAAACATCAATTAAACAAAACATTCAAAATTGTTATAAATATACAGCAGTTAAAAATAACGTAAAAGTGATATTTTTGGGGCTTGATATTTTGTCATCGACGAAGGAAATAATTTCATGCCGCCTGTACTTGTAAGAATAAAGAATTATTAATATCATTTAATTAATAACATTTTCATTTTATATTAATTACAAAACAATTTTTGTAATCTTCATTGTAATCTTTATATCATAAGGCTCGGTAGAGGCAAGCCGTCAAGTAAGCGAGTGAACGAACAATTCTTTTCACTATTGCTTTAATCTGATAATAATTCCTTCAAACTGTTTATAATGATATAAACTTTGGAACTAACGAAATAAATCAGTAATGCACCCGCCAAGTGTTTTTGAAGATCTATTATTCGTCGAACACTTTCAATTGTCAGCAAAAATTTCGTTGTAAATCTCTTAATTTTTCCACAAAGCCATTCTAAGCTCAAGTTAAGTATTAGGCGCAATGCAATTTTAGTGGAAAAAATTTTTCAAAAAGGATTTTTTACTAAGGTGAAAAAAGTAGTATTTGATTTGTGTAAATTTTATTTAAGCAACTTACATTAAGTAATTTCTTAACCGTTGGCTGACGCCTTAACCACCATGATCCGAGGAATAAAACAGGCAGGAATCGAAATATAAAAATTTTACAATAGTAGATGTTGAAACTAGTTTACGCCAAACACAAGGGGACAATCATGAGCGAAATGTTCTTCGCTGTCTTTCGTATTCTTTTGGTCCATCAGTGGCCGAGTGGATAAAATTACTGAACACTGGTTGCGTGTTTACTCGCATCAACGAACTGCAGTTTTCCTGGCATTTATCGCGTGCCTAACACCTAAATAAGGGTCAATTTTTCATCGAAAATCTAGGGAGGCACTTTCTTGTCTAATGTTGCTTTGTCTTAATCCGTCAATCCATCGCAACCTTTGCAATTTTCGTAGTTTCATTCGTTCGGGAACGAATTCGAGCAAACCTCACAAATTTTTTATGGGTGGTTTATTCCGGACACATCAAGCCAGGTATCTCACTACCAGACCTCTCTCATTGTGGGTCTGGCCGAACCCACAATGTGTATAATTAAAAAGGCCCAGTTAACAAAAAAGTAAATAAATAGGACATATGATGTCTATGATTTAATTTTTTTTTTATTTTACTAAAATTTTCATAATTTAAATTAGATTTTTTCATTATAAGAAATATATCAAAAATACGATTATTTAATTATAATATTAATTCATTATTATTATAATACACTACTGTATATATATTTTTTCTCTACTGTTTGCTAAGATGGCAACACTGATTGTCAGAGATTAGAAGATTTAGAAGCACGTTTCTCTGTTAAGTCATAGAAGTAGAATAATTTTAAGATTATGATCCGTTTGCAGCAGTTAAAAACTGATCGGTTTGACCCAGTAGAAGAAAAGAAGAAAGCAAGAGCGGCTGTTCTTAACAGTGCTTTTACTTTCGTACTTCTTGCGTGTTTAATAAGAGCTAGTAAGTTGTAAATTATAAGTAAAGTTTTAATTATGTTAATAGCTTGTTTCACAGGTACTGTACTAATTGAGTTCTATGTCCTAAGGCAGGGGATGGCAACCTATGGCACGAGGAACGATTTTCAATGGCACTCTGATTGAATAAATGTAAAGATTAAGGTAATTGTTGAAAAGCCATACACCAGCGTTTTCTCTCTCTTAATTATATTTACAACAGAGACATGGTAGACATGTTCAAAACACAGAATATTTGAGTGGCCACTTATTTAAAAAACGCTGTAAACAAAAAATTTATGGGACTACTTACCTACTGCACCGTTCCAGCCACCATTAAGGTGTAACTATGCAGACATGAGGGAGCGAGAAGAGGTGCGATAAATATCAAACCCTGTCAGATATGCACGAGAACCAGAAATTCGTTCACCAGTGGGATTTCTCACTTCTTGCTTGTGTGTGTTTTCCTTTGCAAGGACTATATCACTCGCTAGTAAATTTGCATCTGCATAGTTGCACCTTTACTTAAGCTTGTTTTTGTTGTGGAGCTGCACATTGGACGGCAAATTTTCCTTTATAACCAAACCAATTTTGATACTTTAAATAACAAAATTGGTAGAATCGTGTCAGCACCGTGAATAACACTATAACTTAGATTTGACACAATACTGCCAAAAGGTTGCCAATCCCTGGACTAAGATATTTAAGTGCACAGATACCTTTTCAGTTAAGTGTTTTATTTTGTACATTAAATATGGTTTTATAAGTCTCCTTGCTATAATAGGCACGTTACTCTAGTGTATTTTTATTCACTTCTATAACAGATCTCATGCAAAAAAAAAAGATTTTTAAAAAATTTAACTTATTTTTTTTGTAAGTATTTTATTTCACAGATGTCCTCAGTTAATTTTTATACATCAACTTAACAAAAAGTATTGATAAGTATTTCTGTTTTTGAAGGAAAGGTTCCATTGCTCTTTTGGTTTTTGTAAATATTATTTTTATAGCCTGGGCATTCCTTAGGAGACAAGTTGTCTAACAGATTAATATACTAGATAGTTTTTTTTCAAGCATGATGGAGAACTATGTAGTTAATGGTCTGGCCTTTTGTTCTAGTTAGGTTGGTTGGAGTCCCTTGTTAATCTATAACATGGAGCAAAGAATGAAATGAATTTATTCCATCACTTCCTTTAGTTAAAATATTGTTCCCAATGACACTACTCATTTGTCAGACTGACCTGACTGGAACAATATGATAGACTGTAACAGTATAGACACTTTTGCCATTTGAGTCCCAGATATGGAACTGTACCAAAAATTCTATAGCCTGAAAAAAAGATTCCTTGTTGTCTTAACATTTGTTCAATTTCTTGAATGAGATAAGGCAAATTCTAAATAAAAAATGGCAACATGATTGATATGAAATAGTAACATCTAGTCAACAATTTAGCTTTGGATATTATAATAAATTAATAACTTAATAAACAACAACATAATAAACTTTAATCACAGATAATAGAGAGGTTGAGGCGCACGTTTTAAACGTGTAAACGTGTACGTGTGACGTTCGGCACCGCTTTCCCGTAAGCCAAAAAGTTTGACGATGGTGTTTGGAATGTCGAGCGTGATTCCACCGACTATCCAAACACCATTGTCAAACTTTTAGGCTTACGGGAAAGCGGCGCCGAACGTCACACGTACACGTTTACACGTTTAAAACGTGCGCCTCAACCTCTCTAATAAGTATTACAATATGTGATGAAGTACTGCCACCTGTTGAGGAAAAAAGATAACAAATGAAGCCATAAACAGACTTTTGTTGTTATATTAATAAATCAATGTTTAGTGACTAAATATTAATTTGTGTGCAGCAAGGGCATAGTCAGAATTTTCTCCAGGAAGCAAAAATAAGATATTGTTTTTAAAAATAATATATTATTTTGTTTATAAAAAAAAGGTTTTAGTTGAACATTTGAAAACACTAAAAGTAATTAGTTGCAATGCTATTCGAACCTATCTAAATCTTATTTCAGCACTAGCCTACAGAAGTTCTAGCTAAATCTTGTCAAAAGTTTTTTCTCAAATTTATTTTTAGTTTCCAGAACTCTCTTTTATGTACACTCATCATACACAGACTGACGAGCCAATTTCTGTCATTGTTGACCGTATTCAAGTTTTTACCCGCCATAGGTGCTGAAGGATCTTTCGATGGTGTACATTGTGCAGGGCTGTGCAAATGAGATAAGTAGCACCTGTTTTATGGATGGGTAAAACAATTGCATTTCTTTAACTAGTGCAGCTAGTTCTATCTCCTTCAGTTCAGCATTTGGCACATTTTTTTGTTTCCATTGGTTGAACCAAAGTTCAGTTTCCTTCAGGAAATCATTCAAACTGTAGTTTTTTTTTTTTTAATCCTCATACATCATATCAAGCATTATGTGAGGGTGCAATGTAAGCAATGAGAACACAGGCAAGTTCTCCTCGGAAAAATGCTGTTCCAGAGACATTATTAATGAATCTATGTATGGAATAGTTAGTGATCTTCTCCAAAACTCACTAGGAATCTGTGCTGGTGGATTTGCACGATGTTTCTGATGATTTATGGCTCGCGGCATATTGAAATCTGTTCCAAGATGTTCGGTGATTGTTTCAGCCTCTGCTATAACACTTTGACTTTTAACAACTGCATTTCCATGGCATTTTCTCATGATGTCTGTGATTTACACATTGAAGTAAGTCCACACTTTTTGATTGAAGAGCATTTACCACCGGTTGCAGGAGCGCTGAATATTTTGGTATGAGACAAACACTAACAATGAATTCTGATTTTGTAGCAGTGCAATGCATTTGAAAAGCAGCTTTTCTCGTTGCATTGTTACCATCTGTTGATAGTTTTTCAAGCACTATAACGATTTGCACTTAATGTTCCTTGAATGTCACAATACTTTTATATTTTTGAGACCAGCGGGTTTCATAGAGCATTGGTATACAGTAAAACCTGTCTATGGTGACCACCCATGGTTCCTTCAAAAAGTGATCTTTTAGACAGGTGGTCCTGGAATAATGTATTTCTGTACATATTTTGCACACTTTTTAGCCATTTCTACTAAGCAAAACTTGAGGTGAGCAAAAATAAGCGAATTTTTTCAACGATAGGGCTATATTGGTTTGTATTTTATTCTTATTGGATAACCCAATTTACAGGAGTCGTCATGATATTATAAGACAGATTTAATACCAATATTTTAAAGATTAATACAATACTCGCATTTTCTCGATTATAATGCACACTTTCTTTTTTCCGACTTAATTAATTTGACTCGGTTCTTT